ACTGATGAAACAAATACTTTTTTACTGTTTAAAAACTAAATGTATGTGAAGTACTTTAATTGTAATAATCTTAGATATAAGGGATAGAGCTTTGAGAACAATTTTCCATGAAGAAATAAATTTTACTTTAATTAAAATTAGATTTTTAAGGAGCACCAAAAATAAATTTCCAATTTAGTCTTCTGTTTCAACAAAAAGATAAGCATTTTTCTCATATGCATGAAATCTCTTATTCACAGATATAGTTATTCATTCATTCAACAAATATTTCTGTATGTTTATTGTATATAAAGTACTTGAGGAGACTAAGAACATCAGTGGAAGATAATTTTAAGTGGCAGCTATTTTCATCCTGTAAAACAGACATGTGCCCAGGAGTGACCACATACTGTGATGTCTTTCCTGATATCCCTTTACCAATAAAAAGTGCACATCAGTATTACCCTAACCCTAACACACAGACTGTACTAAAAGCACATCTGCTGTATGAATGAATGTTCAGGAAAGATGTTCAAAGTGTTGCCACTTTCTCTGCTAAAGAAATATGGCTTAATGATTATTCAAACTTCCAGCTACCTCTAATCATATAATCAAAAATAAATATATCTGTTTCCTCATCATCTACATTATTAAATAAGCTTCAAATAACGCTATATTGACCTTAAAGACTGAAAAAGGGAAGAAAATATTTTAAATGAAAAGCAGAGCTTAGAGGCACGAATTTTCCTTAAAGACTGAGAAGGGGAGAGAGTATTATAAATGGGAAGCAGCCACAGTTTCACAGTCAATCACATATCAGGCTGAGCTGGCTGTGTGTCTCTGAGCAATCACTTCACCTCTCTAAGCCTTGGTTTCCTAATCAGCAATATGGAGAAATTATACCAATGGGGGATTAAAAAAATAAAGTATGAAATGTGCTTAGCCTGTTGTCTGACACAACACAGAAATGAATAATGGTAGCTATGAAAAAAAAGGAAGTTGTAGATCAACTTCTCTAGACAATACATGGTTCTCATAAACCAAATTAGACCCTTTCCACCAAAACATTTCGCTTTTTCTCTGTACTATAAAGTGGACCATAAATCACAAACATACCAAATTAGCATAAGTTTGGGATTTTTTTTTAATACTGCAGTCTAGTCTTAGCCCACAATCATTTTGAGAAGCAGTTTTTCCTGACACTTTGACAAATGTGTACACAGCCTAATATAGGGCAGTGTAGTGAAGAGCTTATGAGCACAGTTTCTGGAATGAGAATGCTTGTGTAAAATCAAACCCTGCCTCCCACTAGCTCTGTTTTCCTGGGTACCATTCTGTTACCTCAGGTTCCTTACCTATAGTTTGGGGGTTGATAATATACCTAAGTCAGCAGGTTATAAAATGCTTATAGTAAGTATGCAAGTGTTAGCTATTTTATTATTACAGTAGTTCCTTGGTATCCATGTGGGATTGGTTCCAGGACCCCTGTCGGATACCAAAATTCATGGCTGCTCAAGTCCCCAATATAAAATGCTGTATTAATTGCATATAACCTATTCACATCATCCCATACACTTTAAATCATCTCTAGACTACTTATAATACCTAATACAATGCAAGTACTATGTAAACAGTTGTTAGACTGTATTATTTAAGGAATAATGACAACGGGGAAAAAAGTCTGTACATGTTCAGTACAGACACAACCATCCGTTGTTTTTTTTTTTCTCTTCAAATAAAAAACATTTGGTTGAATCCATGGATGTGGAACCCACAGATATGGAAGGCTAACTATATTTATTATCTTACTGTATTTTGAAATGGAATTTTAAGTTCATCACAAGATTTAGATGCTTGAAATAAGTCTCTTATTATTTTTAATTTACTAGGTAACTCTAAATACTTTCTATATATCTGTCCTAAAGAAAGTAACATTTGTGGGAAAATCACCCACTGCACTTTACTCAAAAACTTCAAATTCAAATAAACTCTAGGTGATGGATGGAGCTAGAACATCTGCATATTTCTGTACCTAAGAAGGAAAAAAAGATCACCATTCACATAAATCAACAATCTAACAATAAGGGTTTGGAAAAAACAAGCTTTAAAATACCACCCATAGAGTGACAAAAGCAACAATAAAGAACCAAGCACAGGGTTCCAGAACACGTGAAGGCTCACTGCACACAAAGTGACACAGGGGTCAAACTGGTGAACAGGAGTCGGTTAAAGAGCAGAGCAGGCTGGTTAGTGCTAGTAATGGGCAGAGCTGCCAACCACAGAGAAGGAAAGTGTAAGCCACCCAGAAGCCAGCGCTGGCAGGGCCCCACTATGGGATCGCCGCACACAAAGAGGTAAATCTTACGGCAAAGACCTCGGCCTGAAGACCAGCCGCTCTCTTTTTCAGCTCCTCCCCTTGAGCCTCTTTCGAACTTAGTTCCTCCTTCAGTTGCTCTACCTGTCACGACATTGTTATTCTTTTTCACTTAAATGTCAGTTTAGGTCTTCTTATTATCTGCTTTTGAGCCAGAGCGGTAACTGGAAATAACAATAACTTATGTAACACAATCAAATCTGTTCCCCTAATGCCCTCTTCAAAGAGCCAGAGATGGTTTCTATATTTTCACAGTGTTCTTTATAAAATGGACTGGAATGTGTTCATCAACAAATGGGAAGCATAAACATAGATTTTATATTGCCATATATTTTGTTCTCGAATTAGGGTGGAAAATCCAAACTACAGAAAGTTGGATATGTGAATTTTCAAGTTCCAAAATTAACAGGAAATTAGTAGAAGTCACTGATAACAGATTCTTAATGTAGCAGAGGAATATTCTACAGACTGATATGCCAGGTCTGGGTGCCACAGCAAGAAGGCAGACATTGCTGGGGGGGGGGCGGGTAAGATTCTCATTCCTTTGCGCTATCAGGAATGTTCCAGTTTTCAGTTCCAAGAAACTAGAGAATATGATTGGGAAATATGGGGCAACACCTATTTTCTGGCTAAAATTTTACAATTACAATCATGATTTTTAACTAAATCACAACAAAACTGATAACCGTAATAAACGAAATCCTCCAGTTTGCCTTACAGCATCAAACTAAATGACTCCGGATCCCAGGGAGGGCTGTGTGAGCGACTCCGCGCACAGGCTGCCGGCCTCGGTGGTGTCTCGCCGCGCATGCGCCTGAAGCGCACGCGGCTGCCCAGGGGACGCCGCAGAGGGCTTTCCCTGACCCACGGCATCTGAAGGGGAAACGGGGTTTCATTTAGGCCATTTTGGAAAACGGGGTGGGCTGGATTTAGCCTCGTAGGGTTTTGACTGTTAAAATCCTTACGAGAGGTAAAGAACTTGATGTCTCCTACCGTGAGAGAAACTCACCTGGTTATAATTCTGCTAAATGACCTCAGAAATACAGAAATGGGAAAAGCTGAACTGTGACAATACACATGCAGCTTCATACAGGCGATTCTCCTTCGGTAAAACTTTGTAACAACTATCTGAATTCTGGGAACGTTCCATTTGAAAGAACTGTGTTGAAAGCATTCTTCCCTGAAGTCTGACACAACAGTGTAAGCAGATCTTCATTATCACCAAGGATGTAAAAAGTATGCATCAATTTTTCACAGCCCTTTTAAGAATTAAAGTATCGCACGCCATTACCTTATTTTTCATAAACTTAGAATGGCTCCGATACACCTCCATTTGCTTCATTTCTTCCTCTCGTTCTTCAGTACTCAATGCCCCATTCGATTTCAACATCTGAATTTCCTCTTCCAGGTCTCGGAGCCCACGCTCCATAGAGGAAATTTTTGAATCCTGAGGACAACGGAAGATTTCATGATTAAAGCAGTCACAAAAACCCAGAGAAGCTGAGTAACTTAATCTTTAAAGATGTTAAATTTAACAAAGATAAACAAATGTACAGAAACTACAAATTTCTAGTGAAAAAAGCCTTTTCTAGTTCTAATATTTTATCATTTTACTTGGTAACCCCTAAAAGATATATTTCTGCCCTCAAAGAGGGGGAAAGAGTAAGAGGGTTTCAAATATTTGTACTATAATGTGCTTAGCTATATTTACAATAAAAATTATATAACGTCCCATTACAGAAAAACAAAGAAATGAATAATTATATTAATAGTTACTTTTTATATTAGAAATCTTATTCTCCATACTCTCCACGCATTTAAAATAATTCATAATAATTTTTTTAAATCACTGCTCTTGTAAATTATTATTACCACAAATATCACCTTCTAGAAGAACATTCTTCCATATTCAATGTCTTGATTTTGTCTGTCACAGTATCTAGTGTATCCCCAGACTGTTCTAGATGTCACCAATTATTCCTACATGGAACGAATGGTTTTATACATGTGCAGTTGCATATGCTCATTCACCTAAGAAACAGAGGCCTTAAAGAGCATAAATTCAATATGGCTTTATTTTACTTGGAGTTTCAGAGAAACCATTCCTTTGGGAAGCAATGTTGACACTGACTTCCTTTTCCACCTTCCCTCAAGGATTTCTTGATTGACTTTCCTTGCTATCGTAATTCCTAGAGCATGAAGATGAAAGAATTGAAGGATTCAACGTGAGAAAACTTCGCCTAGCCATCTTCGGGACCAGGGGAGGGGAAGAGAGGGGATGCACTCCTCTGTCTTACTCATCACATTACCTTTAAATATATCACAAAAAAAATTTCCTTTTACAAACCTATTTACATTAAACTTACATTTTGTTCAAAATCAAATGTATTGAATACCACCAGAGACATTTAAAACTTAATCAGGATTTTGATTTATTCATTTAAAGTTAGTATGCCTCATGCCATCTACTGACCCATAAACAGTACTACTTCGATTGCACTATCTGAAAGTCTTAAAATACTGCTATAAATTTATCTGGAAATATCCCTTAAAAATGACTAAAACACCAAGCATATGCACGTGATTAACCGGCACATGGAAGAACACAAAATACAGGTTCTGCTCTGATACCAGCCGAGGTGGTGATGAACGGGACCAGCTGAATGGCTGAAGCAGGGGCTCCCCGCAGGCAAGACAGCCCCCAGTTACGAACTCCAGCTCTGCGTATCACGTGGCACCCTCTACCTACACAGAGCCTCTACAAAGCCTCCTCGAGGGCCTTGCCAAAAAATATAATCCACCTTCTCTCCCCACCCTCAACACAGAAAAAGGCAGCACTTGACAAATCAGCATCCTCGCTACCGAATCACGCACCATAAAAGTTTCTCCCCAAAAAGGGATCATGACTGCAGCTCTGAAAACCAGGAAGCAGGCTCTGACTGCCCAGAAAAAGAACCTACCAAGCTACTCTCTGAAATCAGGCCAGAAAAATGAATGCTTGATACTCTCAACTAATTCTAGCATCAAACCAATTGGCACCAAGGGCTGAGTTTGAGAACAGTCATTCCAACCAGGTCTCTTACTCCTAGAATGTGTAATAACAAAATAAATAAATTCCTTTTCACCTAACTACTGTGTACTTCTCCAGCCCCAGCTCTCCCACCATTGATCAACCAGTCCCACTGGGTTTACTGAAATTCTCTGCTCCCTGCCAAATCCCCCAAATCCTCAACCTTTTTTCAAAGACTGTCTGCTGCCCCGAGTAAAACCTGGTTTTCCTACACGGGAACTCTCTCCGGCGGAGGCCAGTAATCCCCCAGCACCACACAGGAGCAGGGGAGAGGGGAGGAGTGCTGGTTCCCCAATGCTGCGCCCCTTACGGAAAGCTCACACTGCCTTGACTCCGCCCCCCTCACGTCTGCCATCTAGGGACTTCTCAATCACTCCTGCCCACATTTTTAAGTCTTTGGCACCTGGCTCACAATTGCCAGCCTTGCCATCATCCTAGGGTTTCAATGTCAGAATTCCTCGATGTCCTTAATTCCAGTGACCTCATCCTCCAGTCCTTCTCAGCTATCCTGTTTACAGGACCGCACCATGGATCCCATCATCACGCAGGACTCTCTTCCAGGCCTGTCACGCCCTCACTCTGATTATCTCCTGTTCCTCAACCTCACTTCCCTGACACTTACGTTTTCTCCCAACCTGTCAGTCCATCTGAATTTTCTTTCTTCCATATCCAGGTACATTCCAACACCGAATGTCCAAACGACTCTGCCATCGCCCTCAATTCACCCGCATCCCGATCGCTCTGTTCTATCTGCCCAGCAAGAGGCTAGCCCTACGGCAGTGCAGTCATTCTGCCCTGCTCCTCAGCTGCTAAAGAAAAACAAAAAGCAGAGACAGAGGAGGAAAAGAAAGACTGAAAGAGTGGCAGAGAGGGAAAGGAAGGAAGAGGGGACGATGGCAGAGAAAGGACGAGGAGGAGGAAGAGGAGGGAGAAAAGAAAACTGTAAAACCATGAAGATTACGAGGCTCTTTCACTGTCTGTCAATCATCTTCTTTTCCCATTTCCCCAGACTATTCTTGAGCTTCGCGTCTCTCAAGCTCATGCCATGTTCTCAGCACCTCAGCCATTTCAGCTGTGACTTCAGCATAATATCCACCTGAGTCCACTGGGCCCCCAGAATCTCTTGCTTCTTTGCAGAAAAGCTTAAGGTTAACACAACTTAAAATAGATCAACTGCCAATTAATACTGTTACATTGCCCCATTCTGTTACAAACTCAATGCAGAAATAATTTTGTGAACATGAGTACATCATTCATATGTTTTACTCTTTGGTATCAATAGGGACCAGGAAATAACACACACAAATAAACTTGTGGTGAGCATAAATAAAGTAAAACCATGCAATTAAACCATTCTAAAGGACCTTTACAAGATTATATTCGAGATTACTAATTAACTACAAAGAACCCAGAACCCACTAATTTGGAATTTGTTAAATCCTTTCCCCAAGGATAAAGATGAATACAATATAAA